CGGAAGGGGGAGACTCTGCTTCCCAAAGGAAGAAATGGGGGGGAGAGCTCTACGTCGGGACGGTGGCCCTAAATCCCCGGTCAAAACAGGCAAGACGGAAGCCGATCACTTTTACTGACCGGGACCTCCCCGCCATCGGAGAAGATCACAATGACCCCCTGGTCATAACTATGGACATGGGTGGAGTCGATGTCTCCCGGGTACTCGTTGACACGAGCAGTAGTGTCAACGTTTTGTACTTGGATGCATTTGAAAAGCTCAAGTTGTGTCGGACACGGCTTGAGCCTTTAAAGACTCCCCTGTCCGGGTTCACCGGGGACTCTGTTGAAGCTGAAGGGTCAATCCTTTTGACTTGTGAGTTGGGCACAGGGGACCAGGTCGTCCAAAAACAGATGAGGTTTGTGGTAGTAAACATCAAATGTGTTCATAATGCCATCCTAGGCCGGCCTGGAATAAACAAGGTCCGTGGAGTCATCTCCATGGCCCACCTCTGCATGAAGTTCTATACCCCGGGTGGTATCGGACAAGTGAGAGGAGATCAAAAGAAGGCCGGGTCTTGTTACTTGGAGGCGGTGAAGAAAATGACAAAGGCCTTCGAGAGAGTCACTTTGGTCTCTCAGGAGGAAGACCGGTCAAAGCTAGAACCGGGTGATGAAACCAAGCAGATCGTTCTCTGGGAAGCCTTCCCAAAAAGGATGGTACGAATTGGCAGAGATCTGCCCAGAGGACTTCGAGAGGAAATCATCTCAGTCCTTCGGGAATACACAAATATTTTCGCTTGGAGTGTGGCGGACATGCCGGGCATAGCCCATTCTGTCATATGCCATCGTTTGGCTGTGATGGAAGGGAGCCGGCCTGTGAAACAGAAGAAGAGGCACTTGGCAAACGTCCGGAGGGACTTTGTGAAGAAAGAAGTGAAGGAATTGTTGGCGGTCGGGTACATAAGAGAAGTACAATACCCGGTTTGGTTGGCAAACGTTGTCCTGGCTCCAAAAGGCGACACCTGGCGTATGTGCGTGGACTACACGGATCTGAACAAATGGTCGATGAGACGGCCGGGTGTGAGTTGCTGAGCTTCATGGATGCCATCAAAGGCTATCATCAAATCTTCATGGCCAAGGAAGACGAAGAGAAGACTTCTTTCTTAACTCCCGAAGGCACTTATTGCTACCGGGTGATGGCTTTTGGACTGAAGAACTCGGGCGCCAGTTATCAGAGGATGGTAAACCGGCTTTTTAAGCCACCCCTCAGTAAGTCTATGGAGGCCTATGTAAATGACATGGTGATCAAAAGCCCAGGTGCAGAAAACCACCCGGCTGATATGAGACTTTTCTTCGAGATTATGGCTAAGTACAACTTGCGTCTCAACCCCAAGAAATGCGTCTTTGCTGTAAAGACCGGTAAGTTTCTGGGGTTCATGGTGACCAAGCGTGGTATTGAGCCTAATCCGGAGAAGATTAAAGCCATAACTGAGATGAGGTCGCCCAGTTCATTGAAGGACGTGCAACGAGTGACCGGGCGGTTGGCAGCTTTGAGTCGTTTTCTCTCCCGTTCCGCCGAGAGGGCTCTGCCTTTCTTCAAAGTACTGAAGAAGGCCAACACATTCGACTGGGACCTGGAGTGTGAGGAAGCTTTCCGACAGCTGAAAGAGTACTTAGTTTCTGATATTGTTTTGTCTAAACCCAAACCGGGTGAGACTTTGTACTTGTATCTGGGAATTTCCCAAAACGCTGTAAGCTCTGTCTTGATCAGAAATGAAGACGGCCAGAGGCCTATTTACTATGTGAGCAAAGCACTTAATGGGGCAGAAAGCCGGTACACTGCCATTGAGAAAACAGCATACGCACTTTTCATTACGGCCAAGAAACTAGCCGCGTACTTCCAAGCTCACGCGGTGGAAGTGCTAACCGACCAGCCACTTGGACCGGTCCTACGAAATTCAACCTCCTCAGGGCGATTGATCAAGTGGGCGATGATGCTCACCCAGTTCAAGATAGAATGTAAACCAAGGACCGCAATTAAGGGTCAAGCTTTGGCAGATTTCCTTGTCGAACTGACCGATCTAGGGCCTGAAGCCGGACCTTCCCATACGGGCGAACCGTGGTGGGATATGGCCGTTGATGGGGCCTCTGAACCGAAGGGATGTGGAGCCGTCATAGTCTTCACTACCCTAGAAGGATTCAAGATCTACCATGCCTTAGTCTTTAACTTCAAACTCACCAACAATGAGGCGGGGTATGAGGCGCTAGCCGGTGGTCTCAGATTAGCCCGGGCGCTCGGAATAAAAAGGATGAAGATCCGTTCCGATTCAAGTCTGGTCGCTGAACAGGTCAATGGTGAGATGGAAGTTAAAGAAGATCGCCTGTCCCGATATAGTGCCCTGGTCCGAGCACTCCTAAGGGAGTTAGAAGAGTTTCGTCTGACCAGGATACCCCGGTCAGAAAACACTGATGCTGATATGCTTTCAAAATTGACGCAAGCCTGCCCGGAGCATGTGTCGAAGTTGGCAAAGATTGAGATACTGGACGTACCGAGCGCTGACCGGTTTGAAGTCGCGGCTATCCAACCTGGCCAGACTTTAGCAACCGGGATAATTGGAGTAGATGATGACTGGCTGGAGACCGGTCAGAAACCAGATGATGAGGAACGAGCCAGGAAGGTGGTCCTGCGGGCTCCTCGTTTTCAGGTAATCGATGGTCACCTGTACAAACGAGCCATTGGTGGACCTCTCCTACGTTGCCTTACCAACCCGGAGGCTGAGCAGGTAATAGCTGAGGTACATGAGGGAGTTTGTGCAGCCCATCAAATGTCCCGCACTTTGGCTCAAAGAATAATATTGCTTAGCTACTACTGGCCGACCATTATTGGGGATTGTGAGCGGTATGTCCAGAAGTGTAGGACGTGCCAAGTTTTTTACAAACAACCCGGCAGACCGGCCACATACTACCAACCAACGTCCAATGTCATACCATTTGCCCGGTTTGGGATTGACATTATTGGAACTTTCCCGGTCGCCCGAGGTGGGAAGAAGTTCGTGATGGTGGCTATTGATTACTTCACTAAATGGATCAAGGCAGAGGCAATGGCTACCATAACCGTGCGGCAGTGTGAGAAATTTGTTTGGAAAAACATTATCACCCGGTTTGGTGCCCCAAAGATCATTGTTACCGACAACGGCCCGCAGTTTCGGAACCCCCGGTTCACTGCGTACTTGGCAAATTTCGGAATCAAGCATAGCAAGGCGTCAGTAGCATATCCACAAGGAAATGACAAAGTCGAAAATGCTAACCGAACAATTGTGGACGGTCTAAAAAAGAGATTGGGTGAGGAAGGACACAAGTGGTTGGAAGCCTTACCTCATACGGTCTGGGCGCATAGAGTGACTTCAAGGAGGGCAACTGGAGAGACTCCTTTCGTGCTCACTTACGGATGTGAAGCCCGGCTGCCAGTAGAGGCAGAAATTCCAACATTTAGGGGGTGTTTGTTTTTTCTGCAGGAAAAGGTCTGCGGTCTGCGGACCACTACTGTAGACATCTGCAGGAGAAGTGGTGGACTGAAGGTCTGCGGTCTGCAAGAAGAAGACTGTTTGTTTTTTTAATGTCTGTAGACTGCTATATAAATTAATGGTGGTAGTGTACGGTGGTGGTGTATGGACGATTGTGGTGGTGGTGGACGTTGACGGCG